TAAAGGAAGATGATGAACAAAATAAAGTAAACAAAAGAAATCATTTTCTTTTCTTAAAGACTTAACAGATGAAATTTGCAGGACAATCTTGTATATGTTCTACTCTTTATAGTATCTGTGTTGAATACTGTGAATGCAGATGCAGTAAGTCTGTGATGAATTTCAACATATTTTTGTTAAGAAATTATAAACTACAGTCTATGTTGACTTGTAGCATATTTTTGCTTGGATGAAGTCAAAACTTTCTAGACGGAGTTGACATCTTTTGTATTATTGCCTCCAAAATATATTTTCTTCAGTCTTCCAGAACAATTATTGAAATCACCGAGTAAAAATAATAATTATAATAATGACTGGTAATTATTAGCAAGTAATGAGATACATCATTCATTTGAATTCTCATTAGGTCTGAGAATGATCCAACAAGATTTCATTCTAAAGAGAATCGAATTGGATCCGAAGTTTTGAATATTTAGTAAGTAGAATCGTCGAATTTAAATTTAATTATGAAACCGTTCGAATTTGGTTCCATTCGGTTCGGTTCGTTTCGGTTCGGTTCAACTCCATTCTATTCTCGAGTTTTGTTTAATAATTAAACTTTCTGATATTTACAGCAACACTGTATTAATTCAACTAATGGCATATTCAATCCGAATGTTTACAAGATAACGTAGTTCAATCTTGTGATATCTTTTGCGCATCTCTTTATTGAGTTTTTCATAGATTTGACTGCTAAAATTACACGAAAGGAAGATAGCGAGCTCATAATAATGAAGATAGGCGCTGACGAGCTTCCAATTCGATTTCTCCATAATGACAAAATGGCACTACTGTAGAATAAGAGATTTTTGTAACACTTAGGCCAATTTGATTAAGTTTGGCTTGAATTGAAAATTAGAAATAGAAAAATTATATTTTGAGTTTGGGCAAAATTAATTAGTTAGAAAATTTATTATAAAATAAAATAAGCTGGCTTATTTAAGATAAAAAAATTTAAAAAATTAGAGATTTTCGGCTCGTATTTGGTTCTTCGGTTCTTGGTCTAAAACCGAAGTCGCCGGTTCCCGACTCAGATACCCGTTCGAGTATTTAAATTAGAACCACTCAATTAGATTCGATTTAGGAGTTTTGTCTAACTCTGATTCTCATCTTTGAATTGTTTCCCGCCATTGACGATGAACATGTATTCTTTAATATGTTTTACTACACATCCCTTTTTTATTCTATTTTTCCAACTAATATAAAATTTGCTGTTTACTATCTCACAATATACTACAATATGTTAGGGAATATATTTGAAAATTGTACATGTAGCGAGCTCTTTGTTTCCCATCCCATTAAATTTCAAGCATACGAGGAATTACTTTCGAAAGTGAGCCATTGTGACATGAAAATTGTTCAAATTATAATATAATGAAATTTTCAATTAATTTGAATGCATCATGACATGTAATATTCTAGAATTCATTTAATTGAAAAGTCGTTTCTTATTAAATGAAAAAAAATAAGATTTCAAAACTTATATTTCCTCAACAAGTGTGTCTCTTTAAATAGAGACGGAATAATTCTTATTGAACAGGGCCAACGAGGGGATGACGTGGTGCCCTCTATAGGCACGGACAACTCGCCTATAGGGGCGCCACATCACCCCCTTGTTTGAACAGGGCTTATGTGACCTTATTTATGTACCATGATTCTGACATAGAGACGACTTTCAATAAATAGGTAATATTTGCACCATTGCCCAAAAATATATAACATTCTGCATATTTTTATTACCATTTCAAAAGAGAGTACAAAGCACTGTTCGGTATGTTGTTCTCGAAATTTGTAGTATTACTTTTATGAGAAGAGGTTGTATCTTAGAAGGCATTTGTATTTCTATTTGAACACTTGAGTGAGGCAAAATTCATTTTAAGAAGAAATCGTTCAACCCTTGCTATGACCAAATTTAATTTTTCCCTTCTACAGTTTTTATTTTACATTTCTAGTAAGTCCTTATTCTGTCTCGTAATTTGCACATTAATTAGTGAAAAAGAATATAAATTATATGCACCATATTTTACCAACATAACATTATGAAAGGGATTAAATCCATATCAGAACTATTTTGTTGCAAAATTGATGTTAATAACCTCCCTGAGTGTGAGTTCATTCGTTACTTTTTAGAAAAAAAAAAATCAAATCTTGCGATGAGTTTTTATTTTAGAAAGTCTGACACACCAACTACAAATTTTAGGTAAATAATTTCCAATTTAAATGGATATTTAGAAACTTCGAAAAATGTTAACCATCTCATCGTGAAACTTAAACCTCAAATACATATCATATTCATTTTTTTTATAAAAGACATTTTATATGATCTGTTTTTTATAAAACTCACTTCTTTTATCTAGCTCTACGAACGTGTTAACCATTGTTAGAGATGGTCTACATCTTTTGATGCAGGAGGGTCCGAG